GATTGAAAACTGCTGAACTGTCTTTCCAGTTTTTTTCCAGTCCATCCATGACTTATTTTATCCTATCCCTTTGTGTGTGTGTGTGAGAGAGAGAGTGTAAGTAAAGGGGTGTTTATAAGGGCATTAGAGTTTTATTTGGTAGCATTATGTGCCAATTGTTTATAACTGTTTACCTGTAGTGACAGTTCAAGTATCTGTAATAAATAATGATACTTGTTCAGTACAGAAACTTGGTTCATGCTTTCTATCGATCTGGATTGGAAAATCAAGAAACTGTGTGTATTTTTAAAAATGCTTAACTTTTGTGATGACTACTCCAGGAATAGTGGGGCTTGATTTCAATGTGCTATCCCAGTGAGTCTAACCAATGCAGTGGTGGACAATGATATGGCTGCAATAGACCATGATGTGGAATCAGTTTCAGTGGAAATGAGGAATAGCAAGGATAAGAAGACACTGGTGGGAATCATCTGTAGTCTGTGAAGAGTTGCCTCCATATAGGAGCAAGTATATATTGAGAAATAATGGAGCCATGAAAGAAAGGTAGTACAATTGTCATCAGAAAGTTTAATTGACAAAGTGACTGGACAAATTAGATGGGCAAAGGTAACATGGGAAACAGATTTGTAGAGGGTATCAGGGATTGTTTCTTCGTGCAGTACGTTGCACAACCTACCCGGGAATGGGCTATTTTAGATCTAGTAATGCGCCATGAGATAGGATTAATAAGAGATTTTGCATTTCAGGATCCTCTAGGGGATAGCAATCTCAACATGATAGAATTTCAAATTCAGTTTGCTGGAGAGCAACTTGGATCTCAAACTAGTTACTTCAACTTAAAAAAGGGCACTTACAGTAGTATCAAGAAAGAGTTTCTAAAGCAGGCTGGGAAAGTAAAGTAGGAAGCATGTCAGTGGATGTACAATAGCATATATTTAAGAAGATATTCCGTTACTCTCAGCAAAAAATTATTCAGGTCATAAGAAGGATTCTGAGAAAGATTTACCACCCATTGTTGTCAAAGAGAATATTTAATCAAAAATCAAGGCATACAAAGCACCAAAAACTAGTGGCATGCTGGAGGATTGGGAATTTTATTTTGGAGTAGGAACAGATGACTAAAAAGCTAAGAAAGGACAAGAAAATTTATTAAGCAATTATTTGGCAAGAAATCCAAAAGCAAGCAGTAGCAGCTTCTCTGGGCATATATAATAAGAAAGTGAATAGCTAAAATAAGCATAGGATCCTTGGAGGATGCAACTGGAAAGTTGATTATGGGGAACAGGAAAATGATAGAAAATTCAAATCAATATTTTGCATCGATCTTCATGGTCTAGGATGCTATAAACATTACAAAAACAACCAGTAAGTGAGGTGCTAATGTTACGAAAGATCTTGTAATGGTCTCTATTACAAGGGGCAAAGTTTTTTTTTTATTCACTCATGCGATTTGGGCATCGCTGGCTGGCCAGCATTTATTGCCTGCCCCTAGTCAACCTTGAGAAGATGGTGGTAAGCTGCTTTCTTGAACCAGTATTTGACAAATTAATGAGACTAAAGGCAGACAAGTCGCCAAAAACTGATAACCTGAATCTGAGCGTTTTAAAGGAACTGGCTGCAGAGAAAATGGAAGCATTGGTTGAAATATTCACTGGATTCTGGGATCGTCCTAATGGATTTAGGAAAAAAGTTAACGAGACAACAGTGTTCAAGAAGGCAAGAAACTATAGGTCAGTTAATCTAAAATCTGTTATTGGAGAAAAACTAGACTATGTAATTTAGGAAGAAATAGCTGCAAATTTAGAACAACTTAACACAATCAGAGTCAGCGTAATTTTGTGAAAGGAAAATTATGTTTGATAAATTTACTAGAGTTCTTTGAGGATATAATAAGCAGAGTTGATAAAAGAGAAGCAATAGAGTGTATTTGGTTTTCCAGAAGACCTTTGATCAGGTGCCACATTAAAGTTTATTGAATAAGACAGGGGCTCGTGGTATTAGCGTTACTCCATTAGCATGGATGAGTGTTGGTTCATAGAAAGTTGGGATTAATGGGCCTTTTTCAGGTTGTAAAGACATAACTCGTGGAGTTTCTCAAGGATTGGTCCTAAAGCCTCAATTACTTATTATCCATGTTAATGACTTGGAAGAGAGAGAGTGTAACGTATCTAAATGCGCTGATGGTGCAAAAATGAGTGGAAGGGTGTGTTGTGATGAGAGCACAATGAATCTGCAAGGTGATTTAGGTTGAGTGAGTAAGCAAAAAATTCTCAGATGGAATTTCATGTCAGATGGTATGAGGTCCTGTACCTTGGTTGGAAGACTGAAAAGGCAGATTGTTATTTAAATGGAGAAATACAGTGAAAGGTTGCAGTACAGTTTGATTTAGGTGCATAAAACTCAAAAAGGGTAACATGTAGGCGCAGCAAGTAATTAAGAAGTTAAATAGAATTTTGGCCTTTATTGCTAGTAGGTTGGAATTTAAGCTGGGAAAGTCTTGTTCCAAATCTACAGAATGTTGGAGAGGCCACATCTGGAGTACTGTGTACAGTTTAATTCCTGGTATTTAAAAAATTTGATATACCAGTCCTGGAGCATTTCAAGAGGCTACTCACTAGGCTAATTCCTGTTGACAAAATGTCTCCACTAATTGGGGGGTGGATCGTGAACTAGGGGACTTTCATTTAAAACTGAGATGTGAAGGAATTTCTTCTCCCAGAAGGTAGTGAAATTTTGGCATTTTATCCAGAAGGGCACAGACCATGTTGGGGTAGACAAATGGGTTTCAATGGTGAGAAATGTGAAATGATGAATTTTGGTAGGAAGAACGTTGAAAGACAGTACAAAATAGGGGTACAATTCTGAGGGTGGGGGGAGTGTGGAGAAGAGGGACCTGGGTATATGCACAGGTCATTGCAAGGGGCAGAACAGTTAGAGAGAGCAGTTAGTCTCCCACACAATATCATATAAAAACTGAAAGAACTGCGGATGCTGTAAATCGGGAACGTAAACAAAGTTGCTAGAAAAGCCCAGCAGGTCTGGCAGCATCTGTGAAGGAAAAAATCAGAGTTAATGTTTTGGGACACCGGACCCGAAATGTTAACTCTGTTTTTATCTTCACAGGTGCTGCCAGACCTGCTGGGCTTTTCCGGCAACTTTGTTTTTATACCACACAATATCCTTGACTTTATTAATAAGGGCGTAGAGTACAAGAGTCAGGAGGTAATGTTGAATTATTTGCTGCTAGGCTGCTAACTTTTGTTTCCTCCGCTTTCTAGTTTCCTATCTTTCATTTCCGTCTTACTTTTCTTCACTTTTGTCTCGTCCCTCAGGTTTCCTCGCCCCCTGCTATTCTATTTTAAACACTCCCTCATGGTATGTGCGAACACCCTGTGAGGATAGTGGTCTTGTTGGACAGCAGCTATGCAGCTTGTAAAGATTCCATCCTTCCCAGAATCTGCCCCAAAACCTGAAGAATCTAAATTCACTTTCCTACATGATCCCTCCGGCCACAGATTCAACCGCTTGAGGATAGCTAAAGTAACTTTGTTATTTAAAAGGGGAGGTAGAGAGAAAACAAGGCATTATAGACCAGTGAGTCTAACATTGACAGTGGGGAAGATGCTCGAGTTCGTTATCAAGAATTTTACAGCAGAGCAGTTGGAAAACAGCGGCAGCATCAGACACAGTCAGCATGGATTTACATAAGGCAAATCATGCTGGACAGATTTATTCCTCGAGGATGTAACTAGTTGAGTTGATTGGAGGCACCAAGGACATGATTTAATTGGACTTTCAGAAGGCTTTCTACGAAGTCCCATGTAAAAGATTAATATGCAAATTAAATCTCATGGGATTAGGGGTAGTGTACTGAGATGGATAGAAAATTGTTTCCTGTCTGCTAACCAAAGAATAGGAATAAATAGGTCTTTTCCTGAATGGCAGGCAGTGACTGGTAGGGTACCGCAGGAATCAGTTCAAAGAAAGCAGTTATTCACAGGATATGTTAATGATTGAGACGAGGGAACAAAATATAATATCTTAAAATTTGCAAATGACACAAAGCTGGTTAGAAGGTTGAGCTGTGAGGAGGATGCAAAAATGTTGCGGTGTGATTTGGATAGGCTGAATGAGTGGGCAAAGGCATGTTGAGCACAATTTCATCTGGATAAATGTGAGGTTATCCACTTTGGTAGCAAAAATAGAAAGTCAGGTTATTATTTGAATGGCTGTAAATTGAGGAGGGGAGTTCAACGAGATCTGGATGTTCTTGTGCACCAGACGCTAAAGTAAGCGTCCAGGTGCAGCAAAAAATCAAGAAGGACAACTCTATGTTGGCCTCCATTAGCAAGAGGATTTGAGTACAGGAACAAGGATGTCTTGCTGCAATTGTACAGGGCATTGTTGAGACCACACTGAGAATATTGTGTGCAGTTTTGGTCTGTTTATCTGAGGAAGGATATTCTTGCTATAGAGTGAGTGCAAGGATGAAATCCTTCAAGGAGGAGATCCAAACTTTTCCAGTCGATCTGGAGCCCTCTCTGATGCCATCACAACCTTTTTGAAGGGTAGTGGCCAGATTCGAACACAATACTCTCGTTGAGGCCAAACCAGTGTTTTATTTAGGGTTATCATAATTTCATTTTATATACTCTTTCTCAATAAAGCTCAGGACTTTGCATGCTTTATTAACTGGTTTTTGGCCTGCCCTTCCAGTTACAGTGATTTATGCAGATAGACCTTACTCCTGCATCCCTTTAAAAACTACTTTGTGGTATAAAGTGTGTGATTTATCTATATTTTAATATTGTTTACTTTGGAGTCTGGAATTCAGCCAGTGGCACGAGATTTTGATCTGTTGTCTGAAAAAGTTTAGTGATTTTGACTTCTCGATTGTTAGCATGGTTGTTGTTACTTTCTAAATTACCTTATTTTTACTTATTTTAATCAGTTTTAAATCCTTGAGTTTTATTTCGATCACTTTTGTTTCCTGTCTGCAGACTATTCTGAGGTCTCTTCACTTGCCTAAGAATAATAGCCTTTACGTCCTCACACCTGACATAGCCCAACCAGGGTCAGATGGGCCAGCCACAAGTCAATCTAGGTAAGCTATCAAGTTGTTTTCTTCCATATTTTGTGTAAATACAATGCCTGATAACTTTCCTTCAGCATTGATTTGTTTGACTGTATTTTGCTGCTGTGTTGTTGCCTGGAGGGGGAGTGCAACAACCAAGCAACAACACTTTTCTGTAAATTTCCATGTGATAATCTATTGTGAATAATAGCAAATTCAATTCTTGGTAACTGACAAGAATTAGAAAGAAAAGCAGGTCTTGTATTTAGAAACTTTTGAAGGTGTATTTTCAGGGGGATCTCCCATTTGTTTGTCAGAATGCTGGGTTAAGAGCCACGGAAACCCTGGAAAATCTTCATTATGACTGTTTATGCTGTTTTTCCAGGGTTTCCGTAGGTCTTCTCGCAAAATTATGGCGGACAAGCAGGAGAACCATTGCAGAAATTCAGCCCCATTGAATCTAAATGGAAGGGAGGTCTACAGCTATGCTGTAAGATTACCTTGTCTAACGTGATTTTAAAATTAGTGTATCAGGTCTCTCAAATGAACAGTATATTTTGTCAGATATATATTGACACTTGTAAATTTTTTGAATAATTTGACATCATCTATGAATTAGTAGAATTGAAATACTTAAACTTTAAGATGAAACTCTCAGAATTGTATATGACTTCAACAATTCTTTTGTTCTCATTGAGAAATGCACAGCATCTGAAAAGAGGGTATTGTGCAGTTAAAGGCTGATAAAATTTCAGATTGTACCGGTTAATGCTATATCCAGATTCAGCTGTTGTTAATTATTTTGGCTTGAAACAAATGTTGATTGTTATACCATTGGGTCATTGCACCGAAGAAATGCATCTCTGTGTTTTCTGAAGATTGAGAGTCTGGTGCAGACCTCCTGAAGAATTTTAATCTTAGGAATACACTGACAATCAATTAGAAAATGTCAAAAAAAAGACCAGCCTTCAATTAATAGTTGAGGTAGAGTTTTTTTAAAAGTAAATAATTATCCAGAGTTTTTCTCAATGTTCTAACAAATTCATACTCTTCAGTAAAATCTTGGAAATGGTGGTGGTGTTTGGATGAGGTTTTCATTGAGGTGTTGCACAGCACCATGTCATGGCAACAAAAGTGGAACTTTACACTGTTTTGATGCTGAATTTTGACACTATACTTGGAATCAACCAGGCCTGGACCATTGCAAATAGTTTGTAATAATGATTATGCTTTGTAATACTATGATAACTGGTATTTTACATCAGTCTTCACTATAGAGGATGCAAGTAACGTCCCAGCCATCAATCTGGAAATGGAAGACAGGCCAAAAAATTGCAAGAAAATTACCAATCACCAGGGATGTGATACTGGGCAAATTGTTGCAGCTGTGAGCTGCAAGACCTCAGGTCCTGATGGACTTCATCCTAGCGTTTTGAAAAAAGTGTTTAATGCGATAGTTGATGCATGTGTTTTAATTTTCCAAAATCCCCTAGATTCGGAAAGGTTCCATTATATATGAAAACCGTGTGTACAATGCCCTTTTTCAAAAAGGAAAGTATGCAGAAAGTGGGAACTGATAGGCTGGTTAGTTTAACATCAGAGGGAAACTGTCAGCTATTATAAAAAAAATGTTACAGCAGAGAATTTGGGCAAATTTGACTTAATCAGACAGAATCACTATGCCTCTATGGAAAGGAAATTGTATTTAAACAATTAATTGGAATTCTTTGAAGAAGTAACTTGTGCACTGGTTAAAGGGGAACTACTTTGAATTCCAGAAGTCATTTGATAAAATGCCACATCCAAGATTACTGCAGAAAATAAAAGCTTGAGGTGGAGGAGGTAGCATACTGGCATGGATAGAAGATTTGTTGGCGGGCAAAAACAAACAGGCATAAATGGATCATTTTCTGTTTGGTAAGATGTAATGATTGGTGTGTCACAGGAATCAATGCTGGGGCCTTTTTTGTTTAAACAATTTGTATCAATAACTTGGATGAAGGAACAAGAAGCTACAGTTAAATTTATCGATATTGAAAGAGATGCAGCGCACGCACATGTACTTTCTATCTGCAAAGGACATCGCATTGTGTGTTAAAATATTTAGTTTGTAGTATACACAAGTGCGCTATGTCACAAGTCAGACTGATGATTCTAATCGCTGTACTTGTTTCAGTTCAACTATAGGAGACAGCCATTCCCTGATGCATTGGTCAAAGCATTGTTCTGAGAAATCAGAGTAACTTCCCTGATTTAAAATTTAAACAAAGCTTGGCTGTTAACTATCAGTCATTATTAATTAGTGTGCTTCTACCCATCAGTCACCTTTCTCTTCTCAAAAAGCATAAGTATTAGTTTCCTCTTTACTGGTATTCTGCAAATTCAAGATGAATACAAGAAGAAAAAGATTGACAAATCTCAGTAATATAAAAAAATTGTTGATAAACAAAGATAAAGCAAAGCCAGAAAATTTGAACTGAACAGAGAACAGTTTCGAAAACATGAATCGGGAGTAGTTGAGAGACAGCCATCAATAGATTTTAATTTGTGATTTTGATTTAGTAAGAAATATTTGCTTAGTAGCTAAATTTATTGAAGAAGTAGTTGAAATATATTCTGTATCATTTGAGAAAGTTGCTATATGTTTCAATGACCTAGAGAATTATGAACCAAGTGTTGGAGGTCATTTAGCTCTTCTAGTTGAACAGTCCAAGGTTATAACATGATTAAGACTGCTGTGCGTAATACATTTGAGTTAATTCCAAAAGCTTGCAAACAAAAGTTTAGAAATCAGAGGAAGAGACGGAATCGGAGATAACACAGTATGGAGCTGGAAGAAAACAGCAGGCCAGGCAGCATCAGAGGAGCTGGAAAGTTGACAGTTTGGGTTGGGACCCTTCTTCAGAAAAACTACTTCCGATTCATATTTTTGAAACTGTTCTCGGTTCAGTTCAAGTTTTCTGAAGACGGGTTGTGATCTGAAATGTCAACTTCCCTGCTCCTCTGATGCTGCCTGGCCTGCTATGTTCTTCCAGCTTCATACTGTGTTAACTCTGACTCCAGCATCTGCAGTTCTTGCTATCCGTAAGAGACGGAATCAGACCTTTTTTTTGGAATTTATTTATACTACAAGAAGTTGAATTTGATTGAAGGTATGGGGCTTGAGCAAGATTTTGAAAATTTCAGAGAGGTGCTGTCAATGGAAAAAGTTCAAAAGCAGTCATCCCTTTCCTCCACCTAGAATTCTGTGAGGTTTCTGAGATCAAGACGTTGCTGTTCTGGCTGATGGTTGCAATCTGTCCCAAAAACACAACTGGCAGTAAACCTTTGCAAGCAGAAAAACTGGGGAGATAGTGAACAGAACAGTAATCTCGATGAGGGGGAAATCTGAAATGAAGTGGCAGATGCTTCTCAGAGTGATTAAAAACACAGTGTGGGAGATATGCATTGTTCTAGGGAACCAACATGCTACTTTTGCCATAAGACAGCATATGCAAAAACAAATCGATAGGAATTAGAAGCTAAATTGGATTTGTAACCATGCCTGGTGTTTTTTCAAGAAAATGCTGTACCAGCAAGTGAAATCTGTGACAAACCAATACTATTGTGATGTTGTGCTGCTGACAGCCAAGGTTTAATTCCTGTGCCAACTGAGGTCACATGAAGGGTTAATTTAAGGTCACATGCCTTCTTAACCTCACTCTTTACCTGAGCCATGATGGATCCCTGTGTTAAACTCACCACTGGTCATCTCTGTCTTATGATCAAGTAGCCTGTGTCCTCTGGGACAATGGCAAGTTCTACTTTAATTCATTTCAATATATTTACAGTGTGTGGCAATTGGAGCATAAAAGACTATGGGAATTTTATACATGAGGGTGTTGGAGACCAAAAAAGGTCATTAACCTTAAAGAGGAGGGAGGTCATGGTAGAGTGGTAATGTCACTGGACTCATAATCAAGATCCCTGAGCTAATAATGATGAAATACGGGTTTGAATCCCATCCTGTTGAAATTTAAACTAAAATCTAGAATTGAAAATTAAATCAGATTAATGGCAATCAGTTATTGTAAAATCCTATCTGGTTCACCAGTGTCCTTTAAGGAAATGAATCTGCTGACCTTACCTAGTCCAGTTGCATGACTCCAGTCACACAGCAATATAATTGACTCTTAACTGCCCTCTGAAATGGCCCAGGAAGCTAATTAGTTAAAGGGCAATTAGGATTGGCAGCAATGTTGGCCTTGCCAATGACACCCAACCCATGGAAGAATAAGAAAAGATACAGGGTAGACTGTCTATTTGGAGTTTACACGTTGTCCCTGTGTCTGCTTGGGTTTCCTCTGTGCGCTCCGGTTATCCTCCCAGTCTGAAGATGTGCAGGTTAGTTCGATTTGGCCATGCTCAATTGCCTATAGCATCCAGACAAGTGCAGGTTAGGCAGATTAGTCATGGGCAATGCAGGGTGACAGGGGAGAGGATGTGCGTCTGGGTGGTATGCTATTTGACGGGTTGGCGTGGACTCAATGGGTTGATTGGCCTGCTTTCACACTGTAGGGGTTCTGTGATTCTAGGGTTGGCTCAATTTCTCGTGTTAGTGTAAGATTCTATTTCTATTTTGGAAATACTTGCTAATTAAAAGTATATTAATACCAGTTATTGGGAATTGTTTACCTGTTCCATTGTGTAGCTTTATTTAGTGGTTCTATGGTGGGAGTGGTGTCAGAATTAATGCTATTGAGTTTATTTTAGGAAATCTAGTTGGAGACCATGTTTGACTTCCTGACGTTCCACAAAACCCATTGAAGTTGTTGAAGATAAAGATATTTGATCAAGCTCGATAAAAAGCCATGTCTATCTCTGAATCTGTTGTAAAGATCAATGGTTTGACTTGAGAGGTTTTTAAACAAAACTCTGACTTCTGAGATTAAAAAGACAGTGAAACATCAGGTTGATGACAGAAATGAATTTAAGTGGTCCAAATTAAATTTGCTGGCAGCACCTCCAAAGCACAGGTGTCAGAGCAGACC